ACCTGACACTCCCTGTTAACTTTTCCTTGCTTTAATTTTCTCTGTGAACTTTCTTGAATACTGTGTTTAATTTTTATTTGTTTAATATCTGTTTCCCTCAAAGAAACTATCAGATGCAAGCAACAGGTCTTTGTTGTTAGTTACCCTAGCACATAGGCCTGTGCCTGGCAAAAAATAGGCAAGTGGTAAATATTGAACAAATGAATGAATAAATGTTGTTACGGAGTTAACAAATCTGTACATCATCACTTTTATATGCATGATTGTCTCTTCTGCTCTGAAACCTTTGATAATTCTCTATTTTCAGTAAAATACGGACCAACACTTTTGGATAATCTTTGTTGGATTGGCTCCAAATTATCCTTAACTCTCACAGGATAATGCCAAGCACCCAGTGTTCTAGCCACACACAACTACTGATACATCTCTACATCAGTCCCAGGCAGTTTCTTCTGTGCCTCTGCACAAAATAGAAGTACTGTGAATTTTTCTTTTTTATATCAGATGGCTTTATTATCAGAAACTTTCAACTAATGTAAAGGGTAAGATTTTAGAATTTGTGTCCTTGTGTGTGGGAGGCATTGCATGGAGTGTTGAAGCCAGGTGGCTTGGGTTTAAATTGTGGCTCTGATATAAATTAATTTTGTTATTTTTTTACAAGGTACTGAACTCTAAGTCTCAGTTTCAATATTTGTGAAATGGGGACAATAATATTTTCTTCATTGGTTTGCTATGAAATTTAAGAGATGCTAGTAAAGCTCATCAGCATAGTGTCTGGTATATAGTATGTGCTCAATAAATGTTAGCCTTAGAAATATTAATTTAACACCTTGTGCTGAAATGAGAGGGAGTTGAGTGGGGGTGCATTAGTATTGTTACTGGCCAGGTCATCAATGTAGTCCTTGGTCTCCACTGCTCCTCTTCGCTTTGTTTGCCTTAGCGGAAGTTGAATGGCAGATTGCTCCACCCTCTTCTCATCTCACCTAAATAATGAGAGAGCTTCTCTTTGTGAGTGTACCACTCAGCTCATCCAATAGATACCTACTGATCACCCAATATGAGCCCAGTATTGTGCTGTGCCCTGGCAGTAAACAGCCACTTCTCTGAGGAGCTTATGATCAAGTGAGGGAGGCAAACACATACACAGATAATTTCACTATAATGAGCCAGAAGCTAAGATAAAAGCTCATTATCATCTGTGGTTATAGAAATGAATTTAAAAATGGAAAGGTTTTGCAGACTATGTGCCCTATATAACATAGTCCATTTGAACAGCCTCAAGCCTGCATTTAAATTAACAGTAGATACATCAAATGATCATACTGATTGTAAAGATGTTTTATGTGCACTACAGAGGTGAAAACAGCTTTGGTTCTCTGGATAATGTTGGGGTACCTAAGGAACAAGAAAGTAGGGCTGAGATGACTAGGCAAACATTTGCAGCCTATGTACGAAGTCATGAAGTGAGGATAAGCAGAGGTTTAATTCAAATTATTATGTAAGGGTTTGAAATTTGGGACCCTCTAGAAGATATCACTTCAACTTCAGAATTATGAGGCAAGAATAAATTCCAGCCAGCTTAAATGATCAATAATGGGGTCCTATTTTGTTCTGCTAGTTGAAACTGTTAGTGGAAATACAGAATAAGCTGTAACCGTGATGGGAAATACCTTACTGGAAGAAACACTTCCAGCTTTGTGGTATATTAGAAAGATTCAGGGCTAGGTGTAGGTCTGGATTCAAACCCTGATGTTTCCACTTGCTATGTATCTATGTATTTTAAACAGGCAGCAACTGCTCTGAGCCTTTGTTTTCTTTCCTGTAATGTGGCAGTGATAGTAGCATTCATGGCATTACCGCGGTAATTAAATAAAATCATGTACTAGTGCAGGAGTATTGGTCAATGCTATAGTTCTCTTTCCCTAAATAATATAAATGCTGGAGAGAAACAGCTGTCTCTGAAATTTTTTGAATGTTCTAATTTAACTTGAGCATGTGGACATCACACAGCCCACGAAGCAATATTCTCAAGTTAAAAACAAGAAAATAAGTATGTGCTAGCCTCCAAAATGCATGTATTTAAAAAAAGAATCAAGAGTGTATGTATTGGAGTTGATCTGGCTGTCTGCAGGAAATGGTGATAAGGCCCTGGAGTCAGCCTCAGAGGCTCAGATCACAGCTCTTCTGAGAGGTGACTTTGGACCAGTTACAAAGTCCATGTGAGCCTCAATTTCCTCTCTGTAAAATGAAGTGATAGGAATGACAATGACGGTATTTCAGTAGTATTTCTAACTCCTACTGCCTTAATTGTGTGTGTTCATGATGGGAGGGGAGGTGGTGGTAGAATTCTTCACTGGCAAAAGCAGTGACAGCAACCTGTAATAACAGCTTCTTAAATAATACTCCTTTCTAGTTCTGATGGGCATATGGGAACTATTTCTTTTTTATGACTCACTGGTGACCAGTGATGAATTTTTCTTGTAATGGTGGTCTTTGGACACTTCCAAAAGTATTGTGTGAAATTGAGTTGAAAACCAACCTATTCTGGCATTCTTACACATTAAATAGCATGAGAATGCATAAAAGTTCATTTTTGTTCTTCACTACTTGCTCTGCTGTCTTTGGTGTGAGAGTCACACGTTTAAGTTTCTGCTGCTATAGCAGGTGATGAGCCTCATATTGAAAAATACAAAAACAAAAACAAGACTCTTGAGATAGTCACCATTCCTAGGCGATCCAAGCTACAGCCCCTGGGGATAGATTTCAGAGTGTTCACAGAGATAACAAGCGACTTAAAATTGCTTAGAAGGCTTATGAATCCAAGGCACAGTGACTGTTTGCTTGGCTGAATTCTATTGCCAATCCTTTTGCATGTTTATATTGCTTTTGTAAAATAGTCATGACAAGTCCTCATTAACTAAGATTGTGGGTTGAATTGGCATTCATCAGCCCAGAATATTGGACTGGGACTTGGGAGCCTTGGAGGCTCTCAGATCTTCCATTGACTTACTTCAGGCTTGTGGCATGGTCTTTATGATTTCAGTCATGTATAAAGTGAGAGTATTTATCAATGGATACTCCCCCACCAAGTGTTCAGAGTTTATAAAGGATTCTTTCTCTCTCTCACACACACATGCCCACACACACACAAATTTTTTTTATGCATTAGAAGTAGATATTACAGAGTTATTATATTTGTGTTTGGAGGAGAACATGTCTCCAGAAGACATTCAAGGGATGGCATCCCTGGGACTGGGACCTAGGCCTGTTCTCTAGGCAAGGAAAGTGCAAGGAGTTGATCTGGCTGTCTGCAGAGAATGGTGATCAGCACCTGGGGTCGGCCTCAGAGGCTCAGATCAGAGCTCTCCTGCTAGGTGACTTTGGGCAAGTTAGAAAATCTGTGTCAGCCCCAATTTCCACCCTGTAAAATGAAGTGGCAGGAATGATAATAACAGTATTTCAGGGGGTTGTTATGACAAAAATGACACAATGATACATGCAGACATCCAGCACAGAGCCTGGCATGGAAACTGCCGTAGACTTTGTAAATGACCCTCTTCTCCCTCTTCGCTTTCTGAATTCTAAACAAATTGGGAGAGAAGAAAAATGAACTGGCAGATGGCAGTCAAATTTTTGTCTGTATTATTTTTGATATCTAAGATTTAATCAGTGTTGTTGCTGAAAAACAGACACAGTTTAGTCTGAGAGCCAAATGGGCTCACGAACACCAAACACCAGAACTACATAGACATAATCATCCCCTTACAAGCCCTGGTGGACCCAGACAGATCTCTTCATGTGGAAGTTACAGCTTGTGTTCTTTATGGGCAGGCTGGTTCCCAAAGAGGGAAGAGGGAGGAGCTGAGCAAGACTTTGGAGGTGGGCCTGAACATTTTCATTTTAAGATGGCTATGTACTTCCAGTGCACATATTCAGGTTAGGACCCACTACTGTAGGCATATTACATATTTTGCAGCGCCCTGTGCCTTTGGATGTGCCGTAGCCACTGCCTAGAGTGGCTTGCCTTCTATCCGTCCCTTCTTCACTAAAAAAAAATTATGCTAATCCTCCAACCTTAAACTTTTGAATATCTTTTGTGAAATCTTCCTCTTCTCATTCATCCAATGCAAAGGATTGCCCAGTCCTTTCTGTGGGCTACTACTCTTCCGTAGACTTAGCTATTTTATGGAACTTACTCTCTATTGAAATTATTTGATAACTAGACTGTGAACATTTTAATAAAAGTTTATTCATGTATATACATTTGTCAGTGTTTAGAAGAAGATCTGAAAGTAATTACAGCAAATTCGTAAGCAGTCATAACTCTGAGGAGAGGGATTTGGACAGAGGAGAGAATATTGTTTAACTTTCATTAATATATGCTCATTTTACCTCTATATCGTTTTGATTTTGTAATAATCAAAAACAGGAGGCCAAGTATGGTGGCTCACACCTGTAGTCCCAGCACTTTGGGAACTTTAGGTGGGCAGATCATTTGAGCCCGGAAGTTCAAGACCAACATGGCGAAACCCTGTCTCTACAGAAAATACAAAAGTTAACCAGGTGTGGTGGCACATGCGTGTGGTCACAGCTACTGGAGAGGCTGACGTGGGAGGATCGCTTGAGCCCAGGAGGTGGAGGCTGCAATGAGCCGTGGTTGTGCCACCTCTGCGTTTCCCCCTGGGAGGACCTCTACATGTCATCTTGGTCACCATCCCAATTTTGGACAGTGTTCTGCCCTCTCACATCCCCTCGTCTCCCCTTACTCTTCCATTGTTTTTCTTTCCCAAGTCTCCAAATGATCAGAGGTATGATTAGGTGTTAGGGAAGGGGCAATATTTGCTTTCCTCATTCTCAGACTTGTCTTGGAGCCATAAGTAGGAACAGGTATCATCTTTTCCAAATACCTTTTTATGGAACTGTTATAAACCTGAACTGATAAAAAGAGGGAAGAGACTACTTGTTTTCCTGCTCTAACCCTATCTATCTTTTCTTATACAGGTAAACTACGAACTGGGAGTTTTGAAGAATGGGTAAAGACTTTCGTTATTATTTCCAGCATCCCTGGTCTCGCATGATTGTGGCTTACTTGGTGGTCTTCTTTAACTTCTTAATATTTGCGGAGGACCCGGTTTCTCATAGCCAAACAGAAGCCAATGTTATTGTTGTTGGAAACTGTTTTTCATTTGTTACAAATAAATACCCTAGAGGAGTTGGCTGGAGGATTTTGAAGGTGCTTCTATGGCTACTTGCCATTCTCACAGGACTAGTAGCTGGCAAATTTCTGTTCCATCAGCGTTTGTTTGGTAAGTACCATGACCCATGAAATGTGGTATTGCTCATTATTTAATTTATATTTTCAAGATACAACTTTACTGTTTCTAAATGCCAATGTAGGAGACATTTTAGTTTGTCCTCCTGCCTTAAAGTTGTTATGCGTGGTTGTAACTGGGTTCTTCAACTACTCTCGGTTAATGGTTTACTTTTCAACTACTCTCTGTTAATGGTTTACTTTTCCTACTGTCTAAGGAAAATTAGCATGAGGTAAAATTAGTACCAAACTTCATTTCAAAAAAATAGCATTCGGGGAGGTGTGGTGGCTCACGCTGGTAATCCCACCAATTTGGGTGGCCGAGGTGGGCGGATCACTTGAGGTCAGAAGTTCGAGATCAGCCTGGGCAACATGGTGAAACCTCATCTCTACTAAAAATACAAAAATTAGCCCAGTGTGGTGGTGCATGTTTGTAATCCAAGCTACTTGAGAGGCTGAGGTAGGAGGATCGCTTGAACGTGGGAGGCGTAGGTTGCAGTGAGCCAAGATTGCACCACTGCACTGCAGCCTGGGTGACAGAGCGAGACTCCATCTCAAAAAAGAAAAAAAGAAAGCATTAGGAATAAAATGAATATATACATAATCTTTTTTTTTGAAAACTTGTTTAAAAATTTTAAATTTTTTTAAATTATACTTTTAAGTTCTAGGATACAGGTGCACAACGTGCAAATTTGTTATATAGGTATACATGTGCCATGTTGGTTTGCTGCACCCATTGACTCAACATTTACATTAGGTATTTCTCCTAATGCTGTCCATCTCCCTGTCCCCAACCCCATAACAGGCCCTGGGGTGTGATGTTCCCCGCCATATGTCCGAGTGTTCTCATTGTTCAGTTCCCACCTTTGAGTGAGAACATATGGTGTTTGGTTTTCTGTCCTTGTGATAGTTTTCTCAGAATGATCGTTTCCAGCTGCATCCATGTCCCTGTGAAGGACATAAACTCATCCTTTTTTATGACTACATAGTATTCCATGGTGATATATACGTAATCTTTTTTAGAGAAGATATGAACAAGAAAATAGCTTCCCCCCCCGTAAATAGTACCTAAGTGTGGCAGAGAGTTTATAAATCATAAAGAAAATGACTCCATATCACACCACATTTTCGTTAAATATATTTTACACATATTGTTCATTCAGGGAGTTGGAACTGTAAACTTTTACTCTCTCTTTTTTTTTTTGAACATTGGCTTTAGGATGTTTATTTTTGAACCTATCCAACCAAAGAATAGTATATTAGTAAGGAATCTCTTGATAATGACAGAAGAAGAGACTAAATTAGTTTAAGTTAAAAAGGTAACTTACTATAAGGATGTTAGGATATTTCAGAGACCAAGGATAGAATGAAGTGACAGGGACATTGGGACATTGGGATAAATGAAACCAAGGGCTTGAAATCTGTTAGGATGCTATTTGTCTCACTTTCTCTATATTATCTGCTTTATTCTCCTTTTACACTGAAGGTGAATTTTTATTACCTAAAGAGACTGAGTTGACTTTCCTAGTCTCAAGTTTAAACTCTCAGTGGAGAGTGTGAAGTTGTCTCAGGGTGTGGTTCCCACCTCTGAACTAACCGATTTTTGCCTAGAGGTAGGTGATATTTATTCAATAAATGTTCATCGCTTATAACATGCCAGACACAATTCTAGACAGTGAATCAAGCCGGCAAGGTCTTTGCCCTCATAAAAACTTAGTTCCTACAGGAGAGAGAAAGACTAAACAAATAAATGTACACTCTGTATGCAATGGGGGAAAATAAAGTAGTTTTGAATGCTGTAGTTGGGTCAATTAGGAAGAAAATTTAGATAGAGCTTTGGACTTAGCAGTGATAAGATAAATAGGTGACTTACTGAAGGTATTTTTGGTCTAGAGGTTGGATTAAAAACCATGGCAATGTTTTAAGGAATAAATAAATAAATATCCATACACACACATACACATAGTATTATATATATTTTTTTCTCTGTGTATTCCTTACACTATTGCCATGTTTCTATTGTATAAATATATAAAATGCGCATATTTTATATTTATTGTCTGTGCTTATATGTATAAAAGGCACACATATGTATAGATGCACATAGTTTCTAGACATTTGGTGAGAAACTAGAAGAAAGAAATGGAGAAGTGCTAAAAATGGAAGAAGGGCCAAGGGAACATTTTGTTGTTGTTGGTGGGGCAGATAGTTTTATTTGGGGGATAAGATTAATTGACCTGCTTATATTCGTGGGAGAAGGAGCTAAAGTGGAGGTAAAAAGATATAGAAGAAAGACAACATTTCTGAAGGTTTCTGTGGTCTCAGACTTAAGACACAGGTAGAAATGGTGGCTTGGAGAGGAAAAGAGGAGAGACCCTGGTTTCTCAAATATAGGCATGAGTGAGATAAAGATTGGTACTCCATTAGGTATGTTTGAGGTGGAGGAACAGGAAGGTGAATATTCTTCTGTCTATTAAAGCTGATAACCTGATATCTCTTTAATCTGCTAACCTCTGTTTTACTGTGAAAAAGAAGATCTGACGATAAAGATGGAGGGGCTTGATGATGCAAGCGGTTTAAGGAAGTGGTTAAGGTTTGGAACAGTGGCCCTAGGGAGTTGGGAAGTGAACTGACTCAGAACAAATGAAAGGGTTGCTGATTATCATGAGGGTTGTTAGCCACTATAAATTTGAATGATACCAGTCTGGATTGTTGAGCAGTGTTCTTTTTGAGAGTTCAGTCATCCAGAAGAGAATTTGAACGTGATTCATCTGGGTGGAGACTGATCAGGCTTGCTGTATTGGAAACAAAGGATGGAAAATAAATGGAGAGTTACAGGAAAAGCATTATTCATTTGACTGATAGGGGATTGTGGTTGGACGTGGAAAACAGGTGAGGGAGATGATGGTCTGGTACTGGGGGAACCCGCCCCCAACATTTTAAAGTAGATTCTTTCTATTTTCCATAAGTGTTGGCCTGCTGAGAAATAGAGAGACAGTATAAAGAGAGGAATTTTACAGTTGGGATGCCAGGGGTGACATCACATATTGGTAGGACTGTGATGCCCACCTGAGTCTCAGACCAGCAAGTTTTTATTAAGGGTTTCAAAAGGGGAGGGGTTGTAAGAACAGATAGTAGGTACAAAGATTGCGTGCTTCAAAGAACGAAAAGCAGAACCACTGATAAGGGCCTAACAAAGATCACATGGCAAAGGGCAAAAGCAGAACCACTGATAAAGGTCCAATAAAGATCACAGGGCAAAGGGCAAAAACAGAACCACTGATAAGGGTCTATGTTCAGCAGTGCATTGTCTTGATAAACATCTTAACAGAAAACAGGGTTCAAGAGCAGAGAACTGGTCTGACCACAAATTTACCAGGGTTGAGTTTTCCCAACCTTAGTAAGCCTGAGGGTTCTGCAGGAGACCAGGGTTTATCTCAGTCCTTATTTCAACTGCACAAGACAGACATTCCCAGAGCGTCCATTTATAGACCTTCCCCCGGGAACGCATTATTTTCCCAGGGTATTAATATTAATATTCCTTGCTAGGAAAATAATTGAGCGATATGTTTCTTACTTGCACATCCATTTATAGACTCTCTGCAAGAAGAAAATATGGCTCTTTTTGCCAACCCTGCAGGCAGTCAGACCTTATGATTGTCTTCCCTTGTTCCATAAAAATCGCTATTATTCTGTTCTTTTTCAAGGTGCACTGACTTCATATTGTTCAAACACACATGTTTTACAATCAATTTGTGCAGTTAACACAATTATCACAGTGGTCCTGAGGTGACGTATATCCTCAGCTTACAAAGATAACAGGATTAAGAGATTAAAGTAAAGACAGGCATAAGAAATTATAAAAGTATTATTTGAGAAATGATAAATGTCCATATTAAGATGAAAAACAATATAAGAAATTATAAAAGTATTATTTGAGAAATGATAAATGTCCGTATTAAGATGAAAAACAATTTATGTTCCTCTGCCACGGCTCCAACCGGTTCCTCTGTTCAGGGTCCCTGACTTCCCATAACAGTCTGGGAGGAGTGAGCAGGGGCCTGAAGATTTGGATGAGGCTCAACAGGTGAGATGGGAGTAAGAAAAAGGAAAGAATTGGTGGGTGTGGTCACATGACATGTTGTAACAGAAGTAAACCATTCTTCAGTAGTGATTCCCAAGTAGGGTGTGGTCTTTAGAGAGTGAGTCCTAAAGTAGAGTGGAGAGATGGGTCATTGACACAGAGAATATTTAGGAACTCAATGTTAGTTGGATCATCCACCAAACATTAAACAAGCATCATGTCCTGCATAGTAATTATATGGATAGAAGAGGATAAGGGTGGATAGTGAATGGAAGTGGGTCATTTTCCAAAAATGGATAGAGAGTGCTGGGGAGACAAAACAATAGATACCTGTTACAAGCAATGGCTGGATGTGTTTGGATTCCATTCGAGAAAATTTTCTCAGTGTAGGAAGCTAAGGCAAATTTAGACCAAAATACCTAGTTTGGAGAAAAGTCATCTGCCTGTATTGAAGATTGAGAATCACACCATTAAACTAATGGTGTGAATTATAAACAGGACATTTGGTTTTGTAATCACTACATTTTGTTAAATTATTCTGTTGCAAACTTTTATCTCTTATACTAAAATCACATTTCAGTTATGGCTTACATTTTAATTCTCCTGGTGATATAAGTAATCAGCCCTGAAAAAGCACTTTTGATTTCAAGTGGTTTATTGAGTACAAATTATTTTAAAATAATGGAAGTGAGTTGTATTTTTTTTTTTTTTTTTTTTTTTTACTTACAGTAGGAAAGATTATATGATGTATTCAGCTTGATTTCTTCTATTTGGCAATTTCCTTCTCCTTTTTCTCTTACTAAAAAACCTATGAAATTTTATGGAATATTAGAAAAGGAATCATAACCTTCTGTAAATGGTGAGGACTCTTGATTTAATTTCCTGATGAACTCCAAACTTGTCCCCTCTCA